GGATGTTAAAACTTGCCAATTTTACCTTGGTAGGTTCTGAAATCCACAGAACGCGACTAGGGACGTGACCTTTCTCTAACGTCGGCAATTCAAAGCTATTAACTTCGTATTGGCGACATTCTCTTCGAAAAATCGCTTTCCGCTTCTGACTTCTTCCTTAAGAGTTTCTCTGCCGCCTRGTARAGCTATATAATGCAGTCCTAGGGGCTTCTGTCGCAGCAAATGACTCGAAAAATCACTTAAAAACGGTTTTTGGGAGAATTAGAGAGCGAGTGCTGGCTAATTTAGCGAGCAGTCTCAAATTCGCCGGACGTTGCTGAAGTAAAAGAGCAATAGTTTGATTRACAACTCCTTGTATGGTGTAGATTTAATATTTTGAAATATCAGTCTCAAAAACAACTTAAAATCCACCAAACAATTGTTGCGTGAAAGGGTTAAGATGATACATGCTACTTACCTCTTCCATAGGAATACACCTCAACTCTCATACAGATATGGACATTCCACGTGTTGGGATGAAACCTTACGAATCGAGCGTAGATTACTGGAGAAAGTATGTGTCGAACAACTGTTTCTCGATCTAAATTACCATTGAAGATCTAGGGGAAGATAATTTTAATAGATATAAAAATTCAGTAGGACCTCTTCTTACGRGGAATTCCCACTAAATTCCCTTCTATATGTCAGCCCACAGGCAAAACGACAAATGTTGGATCGCTCCAAAATAATAATGATAATAAAACAAATTCCTGGAGTTTCATTCYATAATGAGGCTTGGGTGCAAATCGATAATCTCTCATTATTTATAATCTACCTTTCTGGCTTGGTTGATTTTGTACTCTTGAAAAGTCATTCCATCGACGCTGTAGGAAATCCAGTAGCTTTTCACCCATTGGTTAGAAGTCGAGCGATGACGTCCCTGCGTTGCAACTGCTGTCACAAATGCCAGTGCRCTGAGATCCACCTTCAACCATTGATTTTTATYATTATACTTTGAMATCCAGGCTTGCTTGTCCCTTCTAATGGTCCAATACAAGCGTCCATTAAAGGCATTGTATCCATCAWAGTTRCTTGAGGCTGTTATAGCACTGTTGGGTATGTCYCCATTCATCATTCCCAWTCCTCGGTAAGGAGCTATGAAATAAAGAAAAAATACATGAAATGATATTTTGCAGTTTATAATAAATCTATTCTTTCATTACGTTGCATYATCTGAGATAGACAATAATTTACGTTTAATTGTTTACTCCAGGTCAGGAAGTCGTTTAAAAGTCGTTAAAAAGTTTAAAAGTTTAAAAGTTAATGGAAATTGAACGGGTAGTCATGGCCAGAAAATCTCGACATACGAGCCCGCAATAGCAGCGGTACTTCGCAGAAAGCATAAATCATGTTTGTTAAATTTTACAAAGAAATGTACGGATCAAAAACAATATTTGATAATAACCACATTTGATCTGTTTTACCTGGAACGTTTTCCAAGATGAAATCCTAGAGGGAAACTATTCTTGATTCCACTGTAGGAAAGCCAAATAAATACGAAATTGCATTGTTAAGAGGATCCTCTTTGACAAATTTCTTTTCCTTTCGTCCTCTCCTTTGCCCTTGTATTTTATGATGAAAATCCGCGAAGAAGCGAACTTTCACCGTAGGTGATCTTGTTTCCTTACATTCTCATTTCCTTACCTCTCAAAGTCCACACATTGAGCTAGAAACACAGCGATTTTCAGCGATTTTGAGGACGATAAACATCGTCCTTTTTGGTAATAGAAATCGTACAAAACACTAACTTGACGRTGAAATGGCTGGCTGACGAATAATTGGACTCGATCTTCCATTTTCTTTCCATTTTATTCGCCATGTTTGGTACCAATATAAACCTTAGAAACATGGCTTTCAGACTGGGACTGCTTTAAGTTTGGCGGTTTTTACTGCCGCCTCGCGCKCACTGGTAAAYATATAGCGGGAAATGCGAACGAAAGATAGACCAAATAAGTCTCCGCTACTGTTTAGTGTAAACAATGTCAGAACTTTTAAATTCCTTAGAAATGTACAAGTATAAACAAAAGATTACAATATAAACTGATCATTGTTTAAAATACCTGAGGCAAACGTGTGTTCCAGCAAATAATATATTATTTATACTATGAACATTCCAAACGAGCACCTTACAAGCTGGTATGAACTCAAGGAGCAGGGAGTGCTATCCCAGGCTCGTTTGTCGATGTTTTGAACGTTTCGATAACCCTGTATGTAAGATAAAGGATCCTTTCACAAGAGTAGAAAATTCGATCTTTAAAAGTTCAAACCTTGTCAATGGAACTTGTAGAAAGCTCTATTTTRGTGGGAAAACCCTCTGACTCGTCACGGGCTCAAATGTCCGGAATTTYTGGCCATGCTCAATGCGGATCAAAGCGACCTCCTGGCTTACACTATAAGGACTTGCAGCAGTCCTATAAGATTATCTCAAAACGAAGACACATTTTTMTTTTTATTTTTCATACATACTTGTATCACAGCCAAATAACTGCACTCTTGCACATACGTGGTTGTACCAGGTTTGTGGCACTATGCGAACATAGCGAGCAGCGAAGATACTCTTGAAAACTTGCTCGGTAATTTCTCCTCCATTTAAGTTTCCTTTGAACTAATCAATAGCAAGAATGCAGAAATGAAATTCATGCTTACATCAAAATTATGCCATGCTGTTCTGATCAAAATCTCATAGCTACCAAACCATACTTCAAAGCATCAAAATTCTATACAATATGCATGATGCTATTTTGGTAGACAAAGCTCGATTTAACACAATCGTACCGTTGGTTGGTGGTAAAAACCATAGTTAATAGAGAGGACTACCTCTCCATTAACTATGGTAAAAACAAAAAAAAGTCTAACAGAAAAATCCAGTATTTCGAGCACGTATAATTATATAGGGAATGTACTCCGGTGGGTATATGCTTCATTCCGTTATGAATCTCTTCCAAAATAATATACGTGTTTCTCTTGTTACCCTTTTGATATTGAATAAGTCTAACTTGCACCATGCAGCTATGAGTTTACACTAAACCAAACCGCATCATTTTCAAAACTTGATAAACTGAAGAAATTTAATTTAGGCAGTGACTTTCGGTTGACTAACGTCGCACAAAAGAATTAAAGAAGAGGACCAGAGGATAATTCTATTTATATATATATATTAATAGATATTTTTTTCTTTTTGGGATCATCTTCAATTCTTTTGCGCATGACCATTCAATTGCCAAAAAAAAAATGCCAAAAAATGGCCATTGCAATCACGTGCTACTCACTATACGTCTGGCGCCGATCTCAGTGAATATTAACCACTGACCCTCAAGAACTGCATACGATACACTAAAAGACTTGACAAACTCGTCATTGTTTGGATTCCCTTGTATTGCTATTGACTTGATCATCTTGACGAGCCCTATGTCTATCACAAGGTACTGGTCAGCGWTAGATAAACTAGCACACCAAGCATGCGTATTGTGGAGTAATGCTTGTTGAGGTCCAAAGCTCGCAGGGGGATTTCTTGATGTCGTTGACGTCAAGGTTGCATTACCAGAAAGGACAAGTGGCTCGTTACAATCTGGAAGTGTTTACAATTTTATGAATCTGTATAAAATCTTTCCCGACTTTTGCTCACTAAATCTAATGGCATATGATCTTTTGCTTGTCTTACCTTCGTCTGAAGCCAAAACATCGATTTTCAGCAGCGAACAGAACTAAAATAAAATAAAAATACGTATATACAATACAGATATAATAGCACTGAATTGCCACTAGTATCCAGATATTCAACAATATCAGTACATGTCACTAGAGTCTCTAAACAATGTGTTGAGTAGCTAGGGGTTTTAATGTGTGTGATCACATTCACAAAGAAATTTATGACTGCATAGGCAATCACACAGATCAAAGATATGAAGAACCTTCTCTCATTTTAGGCTTTTCTTACAAAAAGCACCAAATTTAGGAACGGCGATCTCCATATTGTATGCATTCCCAGAATGCTATAGGGTATCGGAACATGATGATGTTTCAGTACAAAGGCCATTTA